TTTTGAATTCTAATGAGGACGAGGCACAATGAATATTTAAACTGCAATTACAAAGATCCCGCTTTTATGCGGATGTCCTTAACACAAATAACAGATCTGAAAGTACACATAGGTGCCAATGGAAGGTATCAGTCTAGTTTGCGTTTAGAAGCTAGAGACAGACAATAATACTGTTTTCTACTTGATGCTATTATTGGGGTGGGGGCAGGAGAAGAAAAGGGAGGAAAAACCACCCAAAGATCCCAGTAAAAAAAATTTTTAAAGCCCAGGCTTCCGAGTGAAAGGTTCACAAAGAGGTGCTTGAATCCTTTGTTAACAACTGAACAAACAAATTCATCATCGGGCCGTTCTGTGTGGCCCCCTTGCAATTGGGTCTGTCCTTTTAACAAGAAATTTCCTCACTGGGAAAGCATCTATGACTGATATATCAGATGGGCGAGGATGATATGGTGGCGGAAGGAAAACAAAAGACCATTTCACGGTTCACAGCCTAGCTCTGCACTCCCTTAGGTAAAACGATGGTGTGCCGCTGTTATCGTCAGCTTACGCAAGTTCCCTTAGTTAAACAGCCATGGAGTTAACAGTAACCGAGTTACCCTGAGTGAGTTGCTTAATCCCCACCCCCCAAATAGTTAAAAAAACATACCCTGCTTGCAGTATCATGTACTATGTGTATGTGTTTACATATCAGTGATCAACCTGGCCTTGCACTAGGGAAGAGCAAGTGATTAACTCTTTGCTATGTCGTGAGGCTCTTGGACGGAGCCTTTGCCCCCAGACCGTAATTTAACTTCCATGGCGTTTGGACATCCTTTCGTAAATGTTAGCATTTATGGAAAGGGAATATGGTTTGTTTTCTTCTTACATGTCCTCTGGTTGAGTTTCTCCCCTGCTGGTGCCAAATATGTCCACTGAGACTTGAGTTTCAGTTACCTTTTATTTCTAGAAATTCTGTTTGAGCCCGTTTCAAATTTTCTAGGTTGTTCTTTATAGTTCCTATTCTCTGAAGATACTTTCAAACTTGTCATGTCCTTCTTTAAATATAATCATAACTGATTTTATAATCTGCATCTGATAATTCTAACACTGCAAGTCTATGCAGATCGGTTTCTGTGGCCTGTTGCTGATCCTTGCTCGTCTTGTGTGGTTTCCCAATATGCCACGTTATCTTTGAGTGTGTGCTGGTCATTGCCTTGAAATTTTTTTTTTTGGTTGATTCCTAGAGACCAAGGATAAACATGCTCTCCCCTCCAGAGAGGTATTTCATTACTTCTGCCAGGCACCTTGAGCTACAACAGGTAAATACAGCTACCCAGGATACAAATGCACAGGAGAGGCTTCCTGTGACCGCAACTTGTCAGGAACGATAGTTTTTCCTTTTCCTTCTTCTCATCTGTTCAGTGCCAAGGCTGCCTTCTCCACAATCCCCAAGGACAATTTATTTCTGGTACACTTTTATCCCAAGGGTTTGGGGCCCCACTTTAATGGGAAAAGGGTCTCCTATTACACTTCCCAACTAGGGTGGGCCCAGGACCTTACCTTCCAACTCCACTTGCCTACCCCTCTCAGGCTGCGGAAGCCCCTGACTCCTGCCTGCAAGTGGGCTTTATTAGATAAAAAAAAAAGAAACTACTAGAAAGTACCTAAGAGTTTAAAGGCTGAAAGCAAAACAAAAGGTCAGGTCAGTACTGTAGTTACCCCACAAAATTTAAAACTGAATTACAATTTGATTCAGCAGTTCCATTTCTGGGCAGGTACACAAAAAAGCAGGGACTGGAACTGATACTGTACACCCATGTTCACAACAGCCAAAAGGTGGAAACAACCCAAGAGTCCACTGACAGATAAATGGATAAACAAAATGTGGCATAAACATAACAATGGAATATTATTCAGCCTAAAAAAGGAAGGAAATTCCTGACACATGGTACAACAAAGAGGAATATTGAAGACATTACACTAAGTGAAATAAGCCAGATACAAAAGGACAAATACTGTACGGTTCCACTTATATGAGGTACCTAGAGTAGTCATATTTGTAGAGACAGGAAGCAGAGTGGTGGCTGACAGGGGCTGCTGGGCGAGGAATGGGGAGTTAGTGTTTAATGGGTGCAGACTTGCAGTTTGGGAAGATGAAGAAGTTCTGGAGATACATTAATGGTGGTGGTAAATGCACAACAATGTGAATGCATTTAACGCCACTGAACTGCATGCTTAAAAAGACTTACAATGGTAAAGTTTATGTTAGGTATACTTTACCAAAATAAAAACTTTTTTTTTTTTTTTTAAAGGTCAGGCTAATGTTGCTAAGGGCTGCTAGACCTACTCAGTGAATTGCACAATATACCCTGAGTTCCAAGGCTTAATACTGATCAGGGGAAGACTTTGAAGTTAATTAATGGGGGTCATGAATACAAGTCTAACCTCCCTAGACCTTTGGAGCCACATGCTGAACCTCCGTCAATATGCAAAACTAGCACTGCTTGTCGACAAACACATACATAATCGCAAAGGTCCCTTGAACAAATACAAATGCAAAACATTTCTCTTTAAAGTTATCAGGCACCACAAATGATATAAGGATAGTTATGTGGTGTTGCTATACTATCGATAGAACTGCTAAATAAATATTAGGGGGAAAAATTGAAGGGATGAGAGAAAGAATTATCTCTAAAGTATTTCCATTGAAAAAAATTGGAGAAATTTCTTCTTTCAGCATCTGTTGTACTGTTGTACCTCCCCCTTCTGAATCACTACATATAATTCTAATACAGATAATATATATACTTATAAGTAAATATAAAGGGGGCATGAGATCAATTCACACTTAACACATTTTAAGATACCAACACATGTTTAAAAAACATGCATTTTAGTAATTCTGGGCATCTCTAAATTTCTCCTGTTTTCAAAAAAAAAATTAAACAGCTCAGCTCAGAAGATTTTATGGACATTTATGGCTATAAAGAGCAACACCAGGTAAAACTACAAAATAAAAAATTGGCAACAGGAGAAGCCATATTCTTCATTATGACGTCATGAATGGCATGTGGTGAGGGCCTCTATGTTGCAAATACAAAATCTTACTTGCTTAGTGCATGACTGCTTAGTGCATGAAAAAGACCTCAGGAAAGTTGTCTCTTAACTGGAAGATTCTTCCTACTTTCAACATATAAAGATAATGGCTAATACTTGCTCACTGCTTATTATGTGCCAAGAACTGCTGTAAGGGCTGTATATCCCTATCTATCTATCTATTTACCTACCTACCTCTATATCATCTATATCTTTACCTACATTAACTCATTTATTCCTTACAACAACCCTCTAAGGTATGTACCATTATTATTCCCATTTCAGAGATGCGAAAATCGAGGCAAAGGGGAGTGGGTTTTCCCAAGGTCACACAGCCAGTGAATGGTAGAGCTGGGATTTGAGCCCAGGCTCTGGGGTCCATGCTCTTAACTATCATGCTCTAGCGCCTCTCTGCATAAAATATGGAAATTCAGGGACGATGGCGAGTGTCGGACACTTTACATATTTTATACAATTTTATTTTTATAACCAGGTCATCTATTTTTTTTTTTTTTTTTTTTTTTTACAGCCAAGGAAACTAAAGTTCAGAAAGATTAAGTTTATATAAGAATCGAAGATAATAACAGATGGAGGTGGGAGTGAACCCATCTATCTCTGTCGCCAAAGTTTCAGGATCTGGTGCAAAGAACAATATCCCTATGGTTAGAAGTTATGAGAAGGCCGGTAAAGCAAAATCAAGGAGGCTTTGCTTTGCGCAGGAAGTAGAAAGAAGCACATGCCTACAGGCGCAGAAGCACAGAGTGGCTTGGTATCTGGTGGATGAGAACTGCCAGGGAGGAGACAGGTGATAAAAGGGCAGTAGGTGGGTGCCTCCAAGTTCCACTTCCTCTGAGATTCCAGAGTCCATATTTGCCCAGTCCTCCATCACCCTGCTGTTCTAGATTTCTGTTTAACCACACACACAGGCAAGGAAGGTAACACTTCTCAAGCTGTGCATCCCAGATGACCCTGGCACAGAGATCCTTGTTCTAAAACTGGATAGATGGGAGGGATCCAGTATATTTTTCATACTGAAAGGGCGAAAAGTCAGGCAAAGCATGTGCTCAGATTAGGTTTTTTTTTAGTGCTACTGCACTTCTATTTATAACAAAGTTATTAGCCTTATAAACGTGGTACATCTTTGTGAGATGAAGCATCAAATAACCATGACTGTGATTACTGCTAGTGTCACCACCATTCATTGTCACTTACCTGTGGGCAAGGCACTGTGCACAGGCAATAGATCATTGAAACCCCACAAACACGTGCATCAGAACTTCTGCCGAAGAGCAAGGACCCACATCGGGATTGCCTGGTGCGCTTGTTAAATGATGAACACTCTTGAACCCCAACCTAGCCCTACTCAATCAGAATCTCGACGGGAGGGCCCGGGAATTAGCACTTTAAGAGTCATTCCCAGTGATTCTTATTTTGGCCTGTCTTTCCTCATTTTACGTACAAGGTATTAAGAAATGATAACTTCACTAAATAACAGGATATACACTCATCTGGACTTTAGAATCTGTGCTCTTAACTGCTCTATAGCTCAAGCTTCAACAATGAAGCCTGTGACTAAAACAGGCACAAAACAAGCAAGATCGCCTTTAAAACCCATGACATCTGTCACCACCAGCCTGCATGATGTCACAGAATTTCCCAAACTTTTATTCTCAGTAAGTATACAGGAAGGTTTCTTACTTTAAATTAAAAAAAAAATTAACAACGCATTATACTTCCCCTGTCCTCATAACAATTTATTTCATTTTAACAAGATTTAGGGATCTTCCAGCAATTTCAATGCTTCATCACATGAAACTGGCTGTACTAGAAGAGCAACCAAATCCCTGCGGTAAGATGAGACCAACGTGGGAAGCTTATCCGCAAATGATTAGAGAGGCAGAGCTATAACTACAGCAATCTCTTACCACAAGACGTGGACTTCCTGTCCACCAGATTCACACGCCTGGTTTCGGTGCGAAGTTTCTCATCGGTATTCTCCACCAGGTTGGCAAGGTCATCAATTATCTCTATAAAGGAAAACAAAGATGCATGGTTAATACTCCAAAAATACCTTGGCTCACATCAGAGTCTCATAGCTGTGCTGGTCCTTCCTAGTAATAAGTCTCTCAACTGCAGTGAGTGAGAAGGTTTTAAAGAACTCATGTATATTCTCTGAAAACTGCAATTCTGATTCACTAAAGGTTGGGGGTGGGGTCGGGAGGGAAGGAGTAGTAAAGAAAAAAAACGAGTTCAACACAATTCCAGGAGACAGAGGAGAAATGTCAAAAGTTCAGGGGAAAGAAAGCATGACCCAACAAATTTATGCCCAGCCAAGTTGTCACTGGAGTATAAAGACGGCAGACAGACGGTATAGAGGACTTCAGGGACCACTGGGATCCTTCTTAAGAAAACTACTTGATGATGAAATCTAGGCAACCGAGAGGTGAATAAAAATACAGAACTCTGGGCTGGAGAAGCCAGAGGCCATGACATAAGAGATGACGGCGAGAACTGAATCCATTTAAATACTGAGCTGAGAACAAATAAGCATATGGATTAGGTTACAGAAAAGTAGACAAACATAATAAACAGTGACAATGGAATTATAGGTGAAAATCCGGAAGCGGCTGAGGGGCGGTGGCAAGAAAGGTAAGCAGCAGCTAAGGTGTTAATTTCTCCATCACTCTCAGGGTCATATCAAGCTGCTGGAAAGTAAAACAGAGACTTAGAGCTTTGTAAAAATCACCAAAGCTTCAATGTTTTATGTTATTATTTTGTTAACCTTAAATGGATCTTTTAGCAATTACTACCTCTTGGAGAGAACTCTTCATGTAAAGTTTTTTATTTTTATTTTTATTTTTTTTGCGGTACCCGGGCCTCTCACTGTTGTGGCCTCTCCCGTTGCGGAGCACAGGCTCCGGACGCGCAGGCTCAGCGGCCATGGCTCACGGGCCCAGCCGCTCCGCCGCACGTGGGATCCTCCCGGACCGGGGCACGAACCCGTGTCCCCTGCGTCGGCAGGCGGACTCTCAACCACTGCACCACCAGGGAAGCCCCTGAAGTTTATCTTTTAAAAGTGAAATTAAGCACTTAATATTAAAATAGCATATATAATATGACCCTAATTATGTAAAATTATTTCTATCCCTCCTTTTATACATACGAACCTGTAAGGATATATCCAGACAACGTTAACCTAATGTTAATAATGACTATTTCTAGGTGGTGTGATCCTGGGTGATCTTCCTTGTATTAACTGTTTTATTTGAATTTCTTATAATGAGCTCTATATACTATTTTTTTTTTCAGTTTTGGTTCTTTTTCCTCCCTCCTTCCCTCTGTCCCTTTTTAGTGATTGCTTTAGAGATAAGTTGTCCAATACGTTACCATTTTTCTTAAAGAATGAAATAAAACCCACAAGCAAGTCAAAGAAAGCTTTCAGAAAGTTGTTTGAGCTCAGTTTTGACGGGCATGTATGTGGGTGAAGCAGGAATAGTGCGACTCATGCAAAAAGAGTAGCATGTAAAAGGCACAGAAGAGTTGGGAGGTCTTTCTTCCAGCTCCTACAGCACTTCCTACAATCTTTTTACTTAGAGACCCTTTTTGTTTGTATTGAATGATCTGTTTGCATGTCTTTTACAGAAGGAGTATGACAGACACTAACTTTTATTCATCTCTGTATCTCCTATCCCTAGGAGAGTGCCTAATATACAGCAAGATAAATACTAAAAGATAAAGGCCGTGAATGAATGGAGTGCAAAAGATAAAAGCATTGAATAATTTCAAAGCACTAAATAATTTGCTGCTTCTTAGAAAAGTGGAACTAAGCCAAATTTGCCCAATATTATCTGTACAACACCTGCCTAGAAAATATTTCACTATTATTTAACGATCCTTTCATAACTATTTCCTTGTATTCAATGACATACTCTCCCAGTTTCCCTTTCACTTATCTGTAAGCTCTGTCTAGTCTCCTCTTGCTCTTAAATGTTGGTGATCCCCAGAACTCTGTATATTTCTATTCTATTTTAGTTTTAAACTTAAAATTTTAATATTTAAATTTAAAATAATTAAATTCGACAATTTAAATATTTTAATATTTAAAATATTAAAATTTTAATTTAAATATTTTTAAATTAAAAATTTTTTTTCTGCTCTACATAGCTCTCCAAAACTCCTTGACTCATATAGCCAACTGCTTACTACTTATCTCTACCTTGAAATTCCTACAAATATCTGACTCTCAAGGTCTCTAAAACTAAACTCTTCATCTTCCCTCAAACTGGACTCCCCTATCTTCACTGCCTCAGTTAATGGCACCACCATTCATTTTTGCTTGCCCAAGATGGAAATCTTTTTTTTTTTTCCCGCTGTGTTGGGTCTTCACTGCTATGCACAGGCTTTCTCTAGTTGCAGCAAGCGGGGGCTACTCTTCGTTGCAGTGCATGCGCTTCTCATTGTGATGGCTTCTCTTGTTGCAGATCACGGGCTCTAGGTGCACAGGTCTCAGTAGTTGCAGCAAACGGGCTCAGTAGTTGTAGCGCGCAGGCTCTAGGGCACGCAGGCTTCAGTAGTCATGGCGCACAGGCTTAGTTGCTCTGCAGCATGTGGGATCTTCCTGGATGCACTGGCAGGCGGATTCTTAACCACTGTGCACCGCAATCAGTAGCCCCCGCTCGCCGCAACTAGAAAAAGCCTGTGCATAGCAACAAAGACCCAACGCAGCCAAATATAAATAAATAAATTTATATTAAAAAAATTGACAATACTAATTGTTGGGGATGATTTGGCACAAAGTTAACTGAAGAAATATTTGTCTGTTCTACTCCAGCTAAGCATATATCTACTCTATGACCCAGAAATTTCACCCTTAGGAATTTACCAAACAGGAATAGAAACATGTTTCTCAAAAAGACCTGTACAGGCCTTCCCTGGTGGCACAGTGGTTGAGAGTCCGCCTGCCGATGCAGGGGACACGGGTTTGTGACCCGGTCCGGGAAGATCCCACATGCCGCGGAGCGGCTGGGCCCATGAGCCATGGCCGCTGAGCCTGCGCGTCCAGAGCCTGTGCTCCACAATGGGAGAGGCCACAACAGTGAGAGGCCCACGTACCGCAAAAAGAAAAAAAAAAAAAAAAAAAAAAAGACCTGTACAAAAATATACCCAACAGCGATACTCATGAGAACCCAAAACTAGGAACCACCTAATATCCATCAATAGGGGAACGGATAAGCCAACTGTGGTATCTGTGCTGTTCAGTAATAAAAAAACAAAGAGTTTCTTATAACTGTAACAACTGTTACTTTGTTGGCTAAAGAAAAAATAAATCTCAAAAGCATTTTGTTGGCGAAAGTAAGAAAGTAATATATACTTAATAATTCCATTTATATAAAGTATGAGGACAAACCTAATCTACTAGATAGAAATCAGAAAGCAGTTGCCTCTGGGGTGGGGATGGAGGGGACTGACTGGAAAGGGAGAAGAGGGAATTTTCTGGGACGATGGAAATGCTCTAAATATTCTCACAAACGTATGCCGTTGTCAAAATGCATGGACTGAACACTAAGGTCTGTACACTTTGTTGTATGTAAATTATACCTCAACTAAAAATGTAAAGCAGAAACAACAAGGACCTATTGTATGGCACAGGGAACTATACTGAATATCTTGTAATAACCTACAATGGAAAAGAATCTGAAAAATATATATATATATATATACAACTGAATCACTTTGCTATACACTTGAAACTAACACAACATTGTAAATCAACTATACTTCAATAAAAAGTTGTTTGAAAAAAATACATATATATATATAAATTAGAAAAAAAAAATTGAAGTTTACAGTATCATGATACTTCTAGGATTTTCCAGAAAGGAAGAAAAAAGGGAGGGAGGGAGGAAGGCGGGCGGGCAGGGAGACCTGCTGCGAAGACAAAGCAAAATGACTTAGAATAACAAAATTTTCCAGCTGCAAGAAGTCAGGGGATCATCTTGTAGCTCCTCCCCCTTAACAATCCCCCTCCCACCCAGCTCCCCACCCAACCCCGTGCCAGTAACAGGGAAGCTCGTGAGAAAATCAATTCCATGGCTGAGCTGGAGGGTGCCTGTAATTATAAGTTTCTATATTTCGAGCTGAAAATCTGCCTGCTTTTAACTTTCACCTTCTATTTCTAGAACAACACAATTCCAGTGTTCTTCCTTCCAGAAGACAATTCTCGTATAACTCCTTAGTCTTGTCTTCTCAGCTACAGACACTTAGCTCTGAACATTAACAGATTGTCAGAGGAAGCGATTTCCAGATCTCGTGACATCTTGATGCACTGGACACCGGTCATCCTAAAATGTGACGCGAGGACTTGGATCCATCGTTTCAGGTTCTGTCCAGTCAGCACAGAACACACTGAGTTTAGACAGAGTAGCACATATAAAAGTCAGTATTTTTAAGTTCCATTCCTCATGTCCTATCAGGATATTCCATAGTAAAAGCTATGCTTCCTAGAGTTGCTTGGTCCATTGTTCTCATGCAAACGATTACAGTTGAGATTGCATGATATATTTTAATGTCTCAACATGTAATATAAAATTTAGACTTAATAAGCTTCTAGCACTATAAGAAAGTCAAGTGCAAAATACTCCTTGTCAGATACTAAATACAATATGTCAGCTGTTATATGTTAACTGGGTTTCTGGATAGAGTTCTCATTAAATTTGTAAATATTCGTAACAGAGGTAAATACAAAATTGGTAGAAGATTAGCTAAGCAAAAATCAGTAGTCAACACTGAAGGGGTTAATCTCAGACCAAACACAGAGTTTTTCATATTGGTTGGTAAACCTCATCTGATTACTAGTTTGTTTGCTTTAAAAAACAAACAAAAAACCCTCTATTTTTAGGTGATAAAAATCATTTAATAGCAGTTTATAAATGAGAGGGAGAAAAGTATAAGATTATCCACACACCCCAGTAACCACTCCTATGGATTCCCTTCTAAGATTTGACATAAACTTTTTTTGTTTGTTTGT